AATATTTTCGGTTCTTGCTTAGGGTACCCCTTCTTGTGGTATCCGACAACAGTCTACACTTCACTCTTACCCTTGTTGTCTTGCGTGGTGCGGCACTGCCGCACTTGAAGAGAGGCACTACCGCAGTGCGGCACTGCCGCGACTTAAGTGATCGTTGGGGCTGAGGGGGTATTTATACCCATCCTCTTCCTCCCCAGCGTCTCTCTTCCTCCTCCTGCTGATTCCAGCACGCCCAAACAGAAACAAAGCTCTCTCTCCCTCCATTGTTGCCCTCAAGCCTCCAAGCAAATCCATTGATTTTCCCATCAATCCTTGAGAAAAAAGGGTCCAAAACTCGATTAGAGAGCAGCTTCATTGATTCCTCAACTCGAAAGAGCACTTGGTTCACTTTTTGGCCGGCGGTTGTGTTTGTTACTCTTGGAGCTTGGCTCCTAGCCAGCTAGAACATCGCCCGTGGAGCTTGCCAACTTGTGTGGCAGCCCTGGGAGGTTTGTAACCATCTCTTGAAGCTAGTATACTCACCCCTCATCTCAAAAGTTAAGTCTCTTGACTTGAGAACGAGGAAGAGTTGGAAAGCCCTAAGCCTTAGTGGCTAACCTCAACAACATGGAGGTAGGCAAGCCTTGGTGGCGAGCCGAACCACGGGATAAATCATTGTGTCACTTGTGCTTGATTTATATTACTTGCATTTCATATCATTGGTTGAGGTGATTTCTAGGGTTTCTAGTCGATCTACTTGTGTGTTGTGTTCCTACCACTTCTAGCTCTCGATCTGTGAATCTCATACCTGCAAAAAGCTAAGAATTTTCTCCGATTCAAGTTTATATTCACTGATTTTGAACTATGACTTGAAGTTGTCTGCAGGTGCGGCAGTGCCGCTGTTCTGGACCTGCAGTGCCACTGTCCAGCAGTGTCGCGAGGTCATAGCAGTAGTGTCGTATGGTGAATTTGATAAAAGTTTGAGTGTTTGTTGTGACAGGCCTATTCACCCCCCCCCTCTAGGCCAACTAGAGATCCTACACATACTCCCTCCGTCCTGGAATAGAGTGCGTTCTGGCATTTGAGAGGTGTCCCAAATATAGTGCATTTGGGGAACAAGAAGATAAAGTTTACTTAAAAAAGCGTGATCTGCTGCTTCCTTTTTCATTTATTATCTCTTCTACTTATCCCTTCATCCCTCCCCACAAGAACTCCGTCGCTCCCGTTCTTCTCCCCACCTCTCCTGTTCTCTTCTCCCCACCGAGAAAACTCACATATCCATGTGGTATTTGAAGGAGATGTGCTGCCCACAGTACATCGCCACTCAAGCCCTCTCCACCTTCGTTGATGGGCAGGTCCTCCTCAGGCTGCTGGCTGGCGGCGTGGAAAGGGCAAGGCGGTGTGCGGAACATGGTGCTTGCGGTACCCTGAACCTCGGCCAGCTGTGGAGGGTGTCGATTTCACCCTTGATTCAGAAGATGGGAGTGGCGACGAGATCTTGGAATTTGTCCCTGACTCCGACGATGAAGGAGGTGGAGCCGAATTGACTTCCCAAGCGAGCGACATCGAATTTGTTCCTGACTCGGAGGCATAGGAGACTGCGCCCTGGAGGAGATGAGGCCAAGGTTTCTTAGATTTGTTGATCAGATACTCTAATAATGTTTCCTGTACGCATCCCTACCTCCTTTCCCTCTAATGCCTGTGAGTTTTGTAGGAATTGTTAGGCATCTGAACTTGCAGATGAGCATAAGACTGGCAAGATTCAAGTGAAGGAGTCACTAGCAACAACCAAGAAATTAAGTGGTGTAGAAAACTCAATATCAGACGCTGAGACGGATGATGAGACAAAGGCAAACATCAAACACAAGCTAGAAGATGAGGCAAAAGATGAGAGGTTAAATGATTTGGTAAATGAAATGCTTAGTCTGATGGTACCTTTGTATGCAAAAAATATGAATGACACAAAAATAGGATTACTACTCAAATGAATAAGTAGTAATAGTGCACTAGTACGTTTTACATATCTAGGAGTACTTTTGATTATTCAATAAACATAAACAAAGAGTACTAGTGCATGATAAACTATTGAGACAGTGATAGCATGACACTTTGATAAAGTTGGAGATCACAACTGAGCCTTGTAGGGAGCATGCCAAGCCTTTCTAACCTCTCCTTGTTCGTGTGTGGTATCTTGTAGCCGTTGCCTCCACCAAGTTTCATGACTTCTAACAAGCAGCCCTGTAGGGTTAAAAACACCCTATTCACCATATTCGATCGTACTCGACGTATTCCTTCTCCACGTTCTTGATTAATTCATCAATGTTTTTGGAATTTCTAAGGTACGCCTTAGACTGTAGGGAAGCAAAGAATCCCAGGTCTAACACATTCATGTCTGGTGAATTTGGGGGTTGATTCATTATGCGAATATCTAGACCAGTATGGGCTACTGCTAAGGCAAAGTCTGGATCATTTGCCAGTACATGTGATGGTGCATTATCTTGTTGAATCCATATGGTTTTCCCCCAATCTTCTCTGGGCTACTTTTTTACAATTGCATTAAGTACCTTCGAAATCAAATAGGATCTACTTGTGTCCCTGGCAACCTTGATGGTCTTTGAGATTAAAGTCCCCCTGGGCCTGTTGTCACTTCTTCTTTTCGTTGGCTCCTGCAAAATGTAACAAATCAATTTAATAAATATGATTTCAAGTAGAAAGAATGTGATAACAAAAGTCTGCATCACATGTCATACAAAGGGCCATATCCCTAGTTTTCCATCGAAGTAACAATTGCCTTCCTCATCATACCTAGGCCCGGCAACAGCTACAAGAAATATGACTTTGTCTATGAAATTTTTGTTTTGCACTGTTCTTACTGGATCATCTTCACTGGGCAGCATGTAGAAGGTTGTGTTTTTCTTAGTGCCGTTGAACCACTTCTCATCAATATGGATAATGTTACGCATATCTTTGAATTTTGGATAAGTATGAACTGTTTGCTCATCTATCATAGTTGAACAAAACCGAAGCCGTTCCCTTTTATTTTGTTCCCTCAAATAAGGCTTAAGGGTACTAGACTGACGGCGAACCAGACCTTCCTTGAAGACCTTGTGCATCTTTGTTTTTTGAAACATTCAGAGCTCCTGCAAGAGATCTAATGGAACATTTGTAACCTGCGACAAATCATTATCAACTCTTTTCCGTCCACAATTTTTTGCTTTCTTTGAAATAAGATCTACTGTAGTGCCTGCTACTCTTTACTTTTTTCCAAATGTTCTGAACAATTCTTCTCTTAACATGAAATAAATTTGAAACAATGGCTGTTGTATCTTTGTGTAAAATCCCATTTGTACTTCTTGCTAGTAACTCTTCATATATATCTTGTCTTTGTTTGTTTGTTATGTGCTGCCTCCTTATAATAGTGTTCTGGTGTGGTGATTGGTTTTCAGGATCGTCCAAGACAAGATCAACATCGTCATCTACAAGGAGGCTGCTAATTACTTACAATACAAATTAGATTACTTACAATACAAATTAGATTTCTTACTCACCTAATTGCACATTCAAATCAAAATTGTGGATGCTGCTATGCAGATCTTCGACAGCATGAACACCTTCGACGGCAGGTTCTTCATCTTCATCTACGTGATCATCAAGGGGAAAAATGGTATCTATTGATTAGAGTACAGTTACAACTACAAAATAAAATTTACCTAGACGCAAATTAAGATCAATTGATGAATGAACAGCAGGCTCACGGTCTTCTACTTCATGGATTTGGTCTTGCATGGCCTGCACAACTTCTCCATGGATACCAGCACCTTCTTCATCTTCAATGGTGGCACATAGATTTAGATCAGGTATTGCATCTTCATCTTCTTCACTAGGCACTGCGTTGGAATCAACTGGCATGCCTATTTTTTTGTGGTTTTTGAATGATTTGATAATTTTGGGTTACGGATTGTTGACCTCTTCTTATAGGAATGGAGGAGCGGCTCTAGTGTTTGGGAGGGAAAAAGATACAGACGGAGGTAAGATGAAATTTTCTGGCCACCTCATTTTGGATGTAGCGTTAGGAGGTGGAGGGAAGCGTAAAAAAATATAGCTTCAATTTTTTTTTTGTTTTTGCTATGTAGAGCTCCTTCTTTGTATTTTACTGTAAAAAATTGCTTTTGGCGCCAACACTGCTTGGCGGGCTATTGTACGGGAGATGAAAGTAATTGAGTGCTTACTATATTTTCTATAAGGAAACTTAAATTCCACCCTTTAATCATGCGGAATAGGATCAGATTTCAATAGATTAGAAAGTTAAATAAGGCATACATGCGTCTATTGCCCTCTCTTATTTTGTCTAAGAATAGCCACAATGCACTGTTTTCCAGGACGGAGGGAGTATTTACTAGTATATTAAAAAAAAGTACCAAGATACATAATTTTTATCTAAATCGCATGTCTTCTCTTCTATCGTCTACCTATCACATTTCTCCATATATTGGTTCCCGTTTTGATATAGTTTCTTGTACAAGAAACTATTTTCTTCTTATGTTTTCTTAATTATAGTGACATATCATTACCATCCTAATTAATTTTCATCTAATTTTTAGGTTGAGACTACCCTTGACTGCGCGGTAGCGGTGGACCCGATGGTAGGGTCAGAGGTCACATGAATAATGCCGTCGGGTGGTGCTTGGAAGACCTTGAGGAAAAAAAAAAAGCACTTGCACATGCATGCGCCAAACAAGCAAACGGTTGAAAGGGGAGAGGGGTTCGTTCGGATGGCTGTGATTAATCGATTGAGAAAAACTGAAAGACCTAAAGTACTGGTGATGGCCCAACTAAATTGGTGAGGAGAATGACATTGGAGCCACCATGATCTATCAACCAAAAAATTGTTAGAGCACACCAGACGAAACCAGACAAAGAAAAGAAGAATCAGAAGAGCAGACTGGGTAGCTGATCAGTATATATACACGCATAGGCACAACAGGATTCATCGCAGATTCACAGTTTCTAGGGAAGAAGCCATGGACACATTAGCGCAGGTCCTCACGCTTGGCACGGCCTTTATTATCTTCCTCGCCATTTTCCGGCGAAGCATTTGGCACGGCCGTGCTCCGGCGAGGCCGACATTGGTCGAGATCAGTGACTCTGCCGTCGCCCGCACAGCGCTGATCGACCATGCCGACGCCTTCTCGAACCACCTGCTCACGCTGTTCCCAGTGGCCTTGGTCACCGGGCAACGCCGCCGCCGGAGCGACAGCATCAGCTCCACGCAGTACGGCCCGCTCTGGCGTGTGCTCCACTGCAACTTCACCTCCGAGGCTCTGCACCCGTCACGCTTCGACCAACTGAGCCCGCTGCGGCGGGAGTCCGTGGCGGACCTCGTCCCATGGCTGTCCGCGAGGGTCGCCGTCGGCGACGGCGGCGGCGATGTGGTCGTTATCAGAGACAGCGTGCACGCGGCCGTGTTCGCGATGGTTGGCGCTTGTGCTTGGCGACCTCGTGGCGACGCGGTCCACCCCGCTAGCCATGCGGCGCGTGATGCAGCAGATTCGTGCGTGCCATAGGGGAAGCCAATGTCTTCGCAAGGGCTCGTGGCTCGCCAAGCTCTACTGCTGGAGGCGGTGGTGGCGCGCCGTCGCCTACCGCATGCCAAGAAGACCACGTTCTTCCTCCCTCTCGTGTCGGAAAGGGAGCGCGCGCGCCGTTCTCGGTCTTTGCAACGACGGCGGCATCAGGTCGTCGTTGACACTCTCATCGACCTCCGTGTCCCCGCGACGACGCGCCGTGGCAGCGCCACGGACGGCGAGATGGTCACCTTACCGCCGGAGTTCCTCGGTGCGAAGTCTGAGTCGATCGTGTCTGATCGAGTGGGCTCTCGCTCACCTCGCCGCCCACCGGAGGTCCGGAGAAAAGCTGCGCCACGAGATAGCAGGATCAGCAGCGGGCGGGGGCGCGGTGCCGAGGAGCGGCTCCAAGACGTTGTTGCATTCGCACGCCGTCGCCGCGTGCTCGAGGCGCTCCCCGCACCACCCCGCCGGTACCCTTCCTCATCTTGTGAAGTCCACGCTTGAACCGGAGGGTGCGGTGGCGATGGCGGAACAACTTGATTACTGCGATGGGGGCGGCGGGCGGGAGGACGCAGGTGCATTTTCTTGTACGGGACATGGCGAGGGACGGGAAGGACTGGACGGACCCCGACGAGTTCGCCGGAGCGGTTCCTCGCCAACGGTGAGAGGCGGAGGCGTCGGCGCGATGCCGGGCCAAAGGAGATCAGGATGATGCCCTTGGCGCCTATCGGAGGTTGCCCGGTCTTTGGGATGGGCATGGTGCACATCAAGTGCTTCCTCGCCGGGCTCGTCTGCTGAAGTTCGAGGGCGCCGTGGCGGATGGTCGTGGCGATTGACTTCACAGAGCTGGACGGGTTCCTCAAGGTGACGAAGACACCACTCAGAGCGCATGTCAAGGGGAGCACCTAGACGTGACCCACTCGTGTGTATAATATAAGGAAATAAAACAAACCACTCTATCTTCTACAACTAAAAAGAATAAAATATGGATATTTTTTTATGCGACATTTATTTTGGTTCATCTGTCTATCTACATATGTGATCCCACGACATCTTCCACATACTTGCATGCACCAGCATACATGGCAACGAGCAAAAAGAAAGAGAATTAACACGGAAGGAAAGAAAATTAAGACAAAACGAATCTCTTTGCATTTCTAAGAACCTTGCCAAATCTGCCTACATTTAATTATTTTTCCTCTTTGCATTTGCAAAAGGTACAGCTTTTTCCCCTTTCATTTGGTTTCACGCTCACGTGTTCCATCGCCCTCGCTTGTTGTTTCTTGCTGAAATTGCCCTTGAGTTTGTTCATTTTGAACCATTTCCTCATATCCCCGTTCCCCAATCCATGATCCATCGCAACAGTAGACACTAGACACCATTTCTTGCGTGAACCATAGTTGATGCCATCTATCTTCCATGGCTCAGCCTCCCAATCTCAAGAGAATGTCCCTACATCTCCCTGACTGGAGATCCGGCCTGCCAGAGGATCTCCTCGAGTCCATCGGGCAGCGTCTCGCGTCAGGCCACGACGCGACGTCCTTCCGATCCGCTTGCTCCCCATGGCGCGCCGCCATCCCGTTCGCGGCCTTCGGGCCGCTTCTGTTGCTCCCGTTCGACCCCAACTCGGACCGTGTCGGCTTCTACTGCGTCTCGGAGAAGGTCTTGTCCAAGACGATGTCCGACGTGCGCGGCAAGGTGACGTGCGGCTCCTCGTGTGAGTGGCTGGCGCTCAGGGACGAGGCGGCGTCCGTGACGCTGCTGAATCCATTCGCCGGTGCACGTGCCCCCCGCGTTGAGCTCCCGCCAGCAGGCGAACACGTCGCGGCGGCGTCCTCATCGAAACACGTGTCTAGGATCCACGGCTGGTGGGTCCTCCATTCCACCAACGACCACGGGGACGCAGATGCCGCAGGCAGAGCCATCAAGCTAGAAGACATGAGGGACGTGTTCTTCCATGAGATCGTGCTCTCGGTGCAGCCTGACGCCACCGGCCGCGAGTGCGTGGCCATGGCCATGCTTGGGTGCTCCGCGGAGATCGCGTTCTGCCGGGTTGAGTCAGCGGCGCGCATGGCCGCTTTCGACACCAAACCGGAGTTCTCCGTGGGGTCCATCGCCCCTTCGCCAAGATAAGTTCTTGGCGATCGACTTACACTTTGGAGAAATCTCCGTCTGCTGCGAATGAACGCCGGCGCGCTGGCGCTTCTCCTACGGCGACATCGCCGCCATCATTGCAGCCGCCACACCGCGGGCTCGCACACCGCAGACTACAGAATCAAATGGTGAGTTGCACATTGTGGATGCCATGGTGAGCACATTCCACGAGACACGAGCTTCACTTACAGTGCCGTGCTGATCTACAAGTGCAACCTCCACGACCGTGACGTTGGAGTGGTCGAGGTGAGGACATCGGTGATCGAGATTAACGTTCGTGTCTAAACATTTCAATGAAAGCTTGAGTGGAACAAGTGTATCCAAGTATAAGGAGAACAAAATCTACATATACGAGTTTTGTTGTATGGGGATCCATACGACTTGGTCCATCGATTGGAGATCGTTGATATTGCTCTGAGACGATGTCGAAGTGAAGCCCGTCCGAGAAAAAGATACGAGTTCCGAGGCTCTAGGTTGGATTCGACCCAATCTCGGAAGGGAGAATGCGTTGATGTTCTTCAAAGGTTTATTACTTCAAATACTCATATTAGGGCAAGCTTGTTAGGATGTTTTTAAACACGCACTGGCGGTGGCTAAAAGAATTTGATATATGCCACATTTAGTTATTACTATTAGTTCGCGAACTGAGTTAATTCAAACAAAACCTTAACTGACGTACACTATATGTACGAATGCAGCCAATTCTCTCCTTTTATATTTAACTAGGTAGTGTGCCCGTGCGTTGCTACGGGATAACTAAATCTTTTGTACTAAAAACACACGGATCGCACGATAAGATAACAATACTGTTAAATTAAATACTGACGTTAAAGTGACATTTAATTCAAAAGGCAAAGTTCGTGAAATTAACACAGTCATGGAGAGTGCGGCGTCGCATGCTCACAAACTCTACTGTATAGACTTTTTTGTGATATGGCTAAGATAATATTTTATATCGACAGAAAGAATTCTCCGATATCTATTTCTTTCATGCGCCAATAAATCAATGAATAAGTTCCGCTGCATCTCCATATAATGTTGTACACACAGGTTTGAGTATATATGTAAATATTAGTGCCTGACACATGGATAATACTGCGTGTCTTAAAAAATCTCATAAAATTTTAAAACAAAATATGTTACTCACCGTATAAATATGTGTGGCTTTAGGACTATTCCACAAAGACATATATTGTAGAATAAGGTATCCACTTAAGTGTCTGTTCCAAGATGTTGAATTAGGTGTTGTAATTCTTAATTTCGACACATTTTTCAGGTCAAGGCAATCAATGGTGACACTTTTCTTAGTGGTGCATAATTTTATGGTGCACCTCTTGACTATCTGGATAAGGACAAGTTAGCACTGCAAAGGCTCAGAAAAGCTGCTGAGAAGGCCAAGGTTGAGTTTTCCTCCACTATGCATACTAAAACCTATGTCCCTGTTTATCATTGTCCATGCTTTTGATGCAAAGCAATTCAACATTACCATGATCAGATATAAGTTTGAGTCTCTTGCGAGCAATCTCATAGAGGGACTCTCATCCTTTATGTGATCTGCCTCAAGGATATTGGCAAGACGATGGACCCATGTTGAAATGTCGCACCAAAAAGTGTCCACGTTTTGTCCACGATTTATTTCCCATGAATATATACGGGTACTATGATAACACTAACTACACCAAATGAAAGATTAGAGAGAATTTGCATTGCCTCCAGAAGGATTTATTTATTAAGTTCTTTAGACTCTATAGTTAGTTTTAAAATATCTGTTTGCATGTCTTACCTCGTATCCTAATTCAAAATTTTGTAGTTTAATTAGAATATTTAGGTGATTGTATATATATAATATTCAATACAAGAATAATCTATGCATGATATTCTTGAAAGATTTCTGCAGTGTAAAGACATCTTTGTTTTTCATGCATGCCCATGCTAACGCTACGGTAAAAACAAAAGGACAATATATCAAATAAAAAATAAAAGCAAAACTCATGCTCAAAGTCAAAGAAATAAATTATGATGCTTGAATTTTGTCATCCATTATCTATCGACGTGCCTATAAAATAGACTGAATAAACAATTAAACATAGATAGAAAACTAAATTAATGAAAGGATCATTGCAAGACATCAATCATCTCATAGCTTCGGACAATATCGTAAAGCTACTAAAAACTGTAACCGTGTCATCACCTCAAACAATGTTCAGATAAATGGATTACAATGAAAGAAATGGATATCGGAGATTTCTTCCTACCAATATAAAACATTATCTTAGCCGCATCACGAAAAGGTATATAAAGTAGAGTTTGTAAGCCTGCGACGCCGCGCACTCCGTGACTATATTAAATTCATAAACTTTGCTTTTTGATTAAATGTCACTTTAACATTGGTATTTAATTTTTACAGTATTATTATCTTATCATGCGATCCATGTGTTTTTAGTATAAATTATTAGTTATCCCGTAGCAACGTACGGGCACGCTACCTAGTATATATATATACACGTGAACTATGACATGGTAACAAGGAAATTGAATCAATGGCAGCGAATTTTCTCTCTTTCTCTCCCTCTCTTTGAGAAGCCCAGCCTGTTCAGGAGGCCATATCGTATCGTGGATTATTTACTGCTGGCTGGTTTGGTGTGAGAGAAAAACACTGTTCCCGACTGGAAATTTACGATCGTTTACGAGCAAGCGAACGGGCTTCCATGTCCATGCCACTTTTTTCGAATTTTGATGAAATCACAAATCCAAATGTACAGGTTCCACCACATAAATCTATCGAATTGTGCTACTTTCAGAGGCGGTCCTTGCAGAAAAGGCTAATAATTCCTCTAAATAAA